CTACTAATAGTAGTGTAGTAGTATCATTAAACTTTAATTGATAACCCTATAATTATCATTGTTATTGTTGCTCTTGTGGTTGTTGGTGGTTATTATTGATACAATTATTATGATGATTATTATTACTTTTATTATCATTATCATTATTGTTATCAATATAGTTATTATCAATATTACTACTATTATAATTATTATCAGTGTCATTGTTATTATCATTACTATTATCATTATTATCATAATCATAATCATAAGCAAAAGCAGTTGTATTGACAGTGGTGTTATAATAACTCCAATACGTTATTCTTTTTAATACTATTGTTGTATTATTATTGTTGTTATCGCCATTGTTATGATTTCTATCACAATTACTGTTTTTTATGATTACTGTTTTTTTATCATCCTTATTATTAATGTATATCAATGTTATTATATTTCATGGTCATTAGCATTGCTCCCCATGTCATTATAACGATTAGCATAATTGCCCATTTTCATCACTATGATGTTTTGAATGATGATATCCTTATTGTTATCCTTATTATCATTATATTTCTAGTCATTATTTTGGTTATTGCTCTTGGTATTAATGTTGTTATTGTTATTATTGCTATTGTTATGACTACTTTTATTGTATATATTATTATGCGTATTTTATCACTATGATTATTGTTACAATAAACATTGTCATCACTGTTGTCATTCACATCATTTTCATAATTTTGTTGCTGTTGATATGATCAATAATAGCAGTAGTAGCAGTTCTAGAAGCAGTTGTAGTAGTAGTAATGATAGTAGTCGTATTAGTAGCATACTAGCAGTAGCAATAATAGTGGATGTAGAAGTAGTAATAGTTATTTTTGTTGTATAATTCCATATTCATTTTCATTCCCTTTATCGTGGTATTTATTGGTGATGTTATAATTACTTCTATTTCATTGCCATTATCATTATCTATCTCATCTTGTTCAAATAAAAAAATATTATGTTTCACTATCGTCTGTACAATGAAAATTATCCTTATACTTTCTTGTAATTGTTGTCCGTCATATTTCTGTGATGACATGGTATCATGAGCAAAATATTTTTTTAAAAAGTGATGAGAAAAATGTGTTGAATGTTTTCTTGTCTGTAAACTAGTATGTTGTATGATCGCCATTATGTGAGAATAGGACCTAATGTTTTTGTTTTGTTTTTTTCGTTTTCTTTTTTTAATGTTTTCTTTTCTCCGTTTTATATTTTATTTATTATATATATATACATACATACATACATATATATGTGTATATATATATATATATATATATATATATATATATATATATATATATATATATATATATATTACGTCTTTAAGAAAAAAACTTTTCCTCTCTCGGTCGCCTTTCCGTTCCTGCAAGAGAAGGTCTTTCGCGAACAGACGAAGGCGCGGCGGCCGTCCTACCTTCCTTTTACTCCTGGCGATCCTGTCCATCCTGGCGGGCGTCTCCCCCAGGTTCTTCTTGCCCCAGACCACGACGGCGATCCTGGAGTACGTGAAGATGAGGACCGCCAGCGGGAGGGAGTACTGGAGGAGCATGAGCGCCACGCTGTAGGCGGTACGCGAGTCCTTGTTGGAGTCGCTGTCGCCCCAGTCCTCCGTGCACACCTGGTGGCCGAAGTACCGGTACCAGTTGAGGGGCGGCTCGAACAGCTTGGAGTAGATGGCGACCGGGAGCGTGGTGGCCAGGGCGAGCACCCAGACGCCGGCGATGATGACCTTGGCCTGGAAGCGGGTCATCCGAGGTCGCAGCGGGTAGATGATGGCGAAGTAGCGGTCGAGGCTGATGGCCACGAGGGTGTAGGCCGAGACGAACACCGACACGGCCTGGAGGTAGTTGACGGCCACGCAGAGCTCTCCGCCGAAGGGCCAGTACTTGAGGATGAGGGTGCTCATGAAGGAGAAGGGAACGCAGAAGATGGCCATGAACAGGTCGCCCACAGCCAGGTTCGCGATGAAGTAGTTGGTGACGGTGCGCATCTTGGCCGAGGAACACACCACGTACACCACCATGGAGTTCCCCAACACCGCGAACACCAGGATGGAGATGTACAGCACGTAGATGGAGGTGTCGAACACGGGACTCGGGGGCAGGTCGCACACGCCTTGCCGCCACAGCCCCAGGACCTCCTCCTTCTCCAGGCAGAGGTCGCAGGCGAACATGAGCTTATGCACGGGCACGCTTATGTTGTCGTCGGGATCGCAGAGGAACAGCACCTCCTCGCTCCTGTTCCTCTCCTCGGCGGGGAGGGAGAGGAATCTGTCCCATCTGTATTCTTCCGTCGCCATTTCTGTTTTTTTTCTTTCTCTTCCTCTCTCGTGTTAAAAAAAAGAGTATCCGCTCTTTTAAACCCTTATTGTTCTCGTTTTATGCGAGTTACGTGCATGATCGTGTCTTTTTCTCCCCTTTTCTGTGTCAGATACATCGCCTCATTTCCGAGACGTTTTCCTTGCTGTTTTCCT